TCAGTTTTCTATGCACAGCTCTGTAGGTCACTAATCAAGTGTTCAAGATATGCAGATAGATTTCACTAACTATCTTTTATTTGTTTTACTTATACTTTTTCAGTTACAGTAAAAGAATACAAAAGTAAGAATTCTTTAGAGGCACCGCATTAACATAAACTTGTCTGACACTTTAAGTTTTGTGACAACTTGATTCCTTAACAAGCATCGGTATTCTGTAGTTGAAATGTATATACAGGACTGACTTGGTGCTCTCTTCACTATGATTGAAGTAACTTGTATTATTTTTTCTGTAAGGTCTTGCATCTTATAAATATATAACTAACCTATAAATATATATGCTAACCTTTCAATCACTGGTCTGAATTATAGCTGATGTCCTGAGTGAAGAAGCTATACTGAAGTGGTACAAAGAAGCACATGTTGCTAAAGGCAAAAGTGTTTTTCTTGACCAAATGAAGAAATTTGTTGAGTGGCTGCAAAATGCTGAAGAAGGTACAGTTTCATTTCAGTTAAGATATTTGATAGTCTCCTGGCAGATCAACATAAGCATCTCTTTGTTAGTTCAACCAGCCAGGAACACAACCCTATAGTGCCTGGTATTGTATAAGCATATAGTAAAAAACTGAGTATACCAGTTCCAAACTACCTGGAACTTTAGATGTTAAAAAACAGACACAACTGACTACTCCATCATCATGATGTTTGTGTCCATGTGAACTCCTGAGGTCTTTCCTATTCCACTCATTGAATAACACTGTGCCTGCCGGAGGAGAGCAATTCTGGAACTTGTTTACACCAGAAAATGAAAATCTAATGTAGCATCTGAAACAGTATCGGAATTGCTCCACTGGGCAACAGTAGCAGTGAAGTGGCAGTGGTAGTGTGCTAGAGACCGTGCTTTAGCATGTGCTAATAACTAGAGTACTTACCCAGAGTCTTTGGAGAGTTTTTACAGCTAAAGCCCATGCTGTTAATGTAGTCTTTACTTTTCTTTAACCATCTAGCTAGATTGTACTAGCACATGCAAAAATCACTCATTTTTTTTAGGTCTATGCATACCCTTAAACCACAAGGACTTTAGTGATGGCTAAAAATAATAGGGAGCAAAATAAAGGCACAGTCCTGTGCATCCAGATTTCCTTCTTTAAGGTGGCCTACATTGGGAAAACTCTTTGTTTTCTGATTTTAAATGAGAGATGAAGATTAATCCAGTAATATTAATCCTTGAAGATGAATCCAGTAATAGTGGATTAGTAGGAATGTAATTCTGCATGTTCACTTGCCCACTGTTTCTTTTGCAGAGTTCAAACTGATAATTTGTTTGGGTTTTCTTCATCCTTGTAAGAGCTATCGATTCTTCCTCAGCACTATACACAGAAGTACCAAGATATCAAATACTATTGACTCCCCATGTCCCCTCCAGGATCTTATGTAGGAAATATGTAATATCCTGTAATGCACATGGCATTAGAGCAATTCTGCTAAAAAGACTGAAAGATAGTCCGTTTTAACTTGTATCTTGGAACATTAAACTTGGATCTAACCAAAATTTTGCATTGCAGTCTATAGTCTCACATCCCCCTCTGTCCTCTTTTACTTCTATAATTGTATGTCTGCCTTAGTATTTTTTCTTCCCATTATTCCTCAGTATAGTAAGTACAGCAACAGTGGATTAATTAAATACCATGTACAAGTTCTAAAAGAATAAATATGGTATGCATGTTCTTGAAGCTTGATCTGCAACTTTATATGCATGAACAACATGCATTTTTCTCCAAGATCAGTTGAAGCTAAGAGGACTGTCATAAAATTTCAGTGGATTTTAGGTGACTGGATGTAGATATTGCTTCATATAGATTTTTAGGTAGATGTCTTTAGAGCATGCTATTAACAAGGGTTTCACATTTGATGCATTCTCAGAGTGTAGTAACACTTGTAAGTTTGTTAGCACTCAGTAACCATGGTAACGATTCATTTATACCTCATGTTCCAGACTTGGCCTCAATTTATAGATTAGAATAGCAGATCAGTAATTCCGTTCTTAAAACTTATCCATTGCATGTTGGAGTTCATTTGTTTTGCATGTCAGGTAGGCCCTATTTACATGCTGGGTTATTTTTTTCCAGGTTAAAACTATTTAAATCTGAAATTGAGGTAGTGTTATTTAGAAGGTGAAATTATACGCTGCAGTATGTTTCTTGCTGATCTGCTTTATACAATCTGACATTTCCCTCCTAGAAAATGTGAAGGCAAATATAGCTTTGTATTTTGAGATGGTGTCTTTTTGCTATTTAAAGGCATATCTGTGTAATTGTCATTTTGAGACCTGTTCATGGAGATGAAGCATTTTACCCTTTTTTCTTTACTTCCTAGAATCAGAATCTGAAGGTGAGGAAAACTAAGACGGTTTGACAAAGCACAATCTCTAGACTACTACCGAATGCTCTTTGGAAATGTCGTACTGTTCAAGCAAAAGTTCAGTGTCATACAGAAAACTCTAGGCTAGACTGTCCTTTTGTTTAGGGAGAAAAAGGGTTTTTAATGGAGCCCTGAGGCATTAGATGCTTTACTTGGGACTCTACTTCTGGCTCATTGTATGCTAACTTAGGCAAAGACATTCAGCCAGGAGCCATATAAGGAGAGTGGAAATGAATACTTTATGGACTCCTTTTTATTAGCAGTCTTTTCAGGTACTCTGACATGTGAACACTCCAATATCTGTTTATAGAGTTGTTTGGTCTTTGTAGCACAATATTGGCTTATGTATGTGATTTGACACCACTGCATTTTTTTTAATAAATGGCTTTTATATATTAGTTTATACGTTCTCAGTGAGCTTCTTTCATAAACTTTCGTTACTGAATATTTTGGGTTTGTTGTTTCTTAAGTGAAAATTGCAGCAGAATATTTTAAGACTCCCTATAAGCATATTTGTTTTTCACAAAATCCCAGTCAGTGCATTTCAGGAAGAGTAGACAGTGATCCCAATTTATCCTATCGTCTGCGGTCCTGAGCAAGCACCCCCAGAGTGACACTGCACCATTTTAAAAACTAAAATGGGGTATAAAAGGATCTCCATGCTACAGGTGGAGATCTCCATATCCCCAGTAAAGGAATACTAATTATGAAGTATGTTAGAAGAATGTTGAGTTTCTAGCAAAGTCAGGAGGGAAAAAAATTGAAATAAAACCAAAACACATGTTTTTACCTTGCTAGGCCTCAAAACACTTAAATTGACAGTGCCACCCATATTCTCAGTTATGGGTTTTTAATCACAGCCTAGAGTTTATTTACACATTTGTATACCAATTCATCACGAGGAAAAGCAATTCTCACTCGTATCCAATTCAGGTTCCAGTGCATATTCTGATGAAGAGCTTTGAAAGATGATTAAATTATTGCATTAAATGTGTGCAATACACAAACTTTTTCTCCGGGAAAAAATAATGCATTTTAAGGAAAGGGGCTTGTACACATTTTTCAAGCATACGTCACATCCTCCTTTGACAATATATATTACACAACTTGTCACATTACACTGGACTGGCATCTTTAAAGTTTAGCTGACTTTTATATTAAACTTTCTTTTGCATATCCTCTAACTGGTATATTCACTTGATATATGCCATCTTTCTGCTTCAGCATAAACTTAAAAAGCTTTGAAGTTTGACAGCAGCATTATAGTAGCATAATTAACATTGCATCAGCAGAATTTATGAAAAGTATAATCCCTGACCAGTGACTGTGAGAAACTAATGTTTTTTCTGTGGTCAGTGTATATCACTTCTGGTTCCAGCTGTCTTGTTATTGCATCAGTTTTCCATTTTAAATAATGAGATTATCCTGTTGCCTGTTTGTGCTAATATAGTTACTGTAGATATCCTTTTATATCCCATTTTAGTCTTTAAAATGGTGCAGTGTCACTCTGTAGGTGCTTGCTCAGGACCACTGCAGCCTTGTCTGCTCTCTGAGAGTGCCCCAGAAGCCAGTCCAGCTGTGGCTTCTAGAACAGGACGGGCCCTGGGTTCCATTCCACTACGTTTCCAGTTGGGGGGGGGGGGGGGGGGGGGGGGGGGGGGGGGGGGGGGGGGGGGGGGGGGGGGGGGGGGGGGGGGGGGGGGGGGGGGGGGGGGGGGGGGGCGCTGATGCGCAGGGGTCCATCTTTTTTCGGTTCTTTACTCTTTTTGACATGTAGGGTACCCATTTCATGAAACAGGGTCAATTTTTCATTGTTGTGCTTTTTGGGGGTGGGTTTTGGGTTTTTTTACACACATGGTGCCTGTTTTGCGAAACACAATCCATTTTTCGTTTTTTGGGGGGGTTTTGATGTGCGGGGTGCCCTTCTTGCAAAATAGGGTCCATTTTTGGTTTTTATCCTTTTTTGTTTTTTTGACGTGCGGGGCTCCCATTTCACAAAACAGAGTCCATTTTCCTTTTTTCTCCTTTTTTTGACAGAGATGGTGCCTGTTTCGCGAAATGGCATCAATTTTTCATTTTTGTGCTTTTGGGAGGGGTGGGGGGTTGATGCGCAGGGTGCCTGTTTCACAAAACAGAGTCATTATTTTGGTTTTTGGGGTGTTTTTTGATACCGGGGTTCCTGTTTCACAAAACACAGTCTGTTTTGGCTTTTTTTCTGCTTTTTTTTGATGTGCAGGGTGCTTGTTTTGTGAAACAGTATCCACCTTTTTGTTGTTTTGCTTTTTGAGGGGGGGTGTTATGCGCGGGGTGCCCATTTCACAAAACGGAGACCCTGGCCTTTCAGTGCCTCCCTGGTTTTTGGCACCCATGACTTGGGGAGCTAGCATGTAGTTCTGCTCCTGAGGAATTAACTTTACCTCTTGTTGGGGAGAACAAGTGCAACCCAAAGCTCCAAGCAGCAGATGGACAGCTCTGCTTTACTACAGACATTTATTGGGGGCAAGGCCCCCTCTAAAGGGTTAAGCCTCTGTCCCCAGTCCCATCCACACAGCTCAGAACATCCCCAAAGGTTGTTCCCTTTTCTTTTCAGTCTGCCCTACTTCTGAGCCCCAAGGCTGCTCTGTCAGGCCCTCTGCAGACTGTCTCCTTCAAACAATAGCCTGCTTGCTCATGCTTCAGTGTCCCTCATCTAGCTTTCCTAAAAGTCTCTTGGGCATCACTAGCATTCCTGACTTCTGTTGATATATCAACAAAGCTATTCAATTTTCTATAGATGGGAGTGCCTTCTGTCCTGTTTCTGGGTTCATTTTCTCTCTAACCCATTCTTTCCCCCTTCAGAGGTTAGCTAGGGAAAAATAAGGGAAAACTAGGGAAAACTGAGATGTGAACAGGGTCAACACAGAAATATTACAATAAAGCCCATAATCCATCATATGTAGACGTAAGTAAATATAGGAAAGCTTTCTTTCATAGTACAGCAAATGTTAAGATGATGCACCTTATTTTGAAACTATTGTTTGAGCAGTTGGATTAAATTTAAGTCATTAAAGTTAACTGAAATGGGATGTATATTTAAAATTATTGTTACTGAATCAACTCTTTTAAAACTCTTGGTTTGTCCTGTCTGTACATTACATTGTTCTAACAGGTTTTTTGCTATATGGCTATTCTCCAAGTGAGCCTGAAACTTTTTTTTGTTGTTTCAAGAATGAATTTAATGTTCCACGGCTGTTTCAGTAATTGCTGGGCAAAGTAGTTCATTACTCTATCCAGTGCTCCAAGTCCTCTGAGTTTTTTGTCACGCCAATCCTCAGAGCATACAAACACTTACAATTTTGGCTTGGGTGTAACTTATGAGTGTCTAAAACCCTAACCGAGAAAAATTGCTTAGGTATGCTGCTAACTAACAATGAGAACAGCCCCATGATGTATCCAAACGTAGGTATGAGCTCTTATCTTAGGCACCTATGCTTAAGGCTGCACCCACAATTTTTTTTCTTTACTAATGACACTGGCACAAATATATATGGCAATTTCTATATATAATAACACATGCAAACCACAATTTCATTTGAATTTCAAGCATCCAAAATGCAGGGATGTTTTGGATCCATATTTTTATTCAGGTCCATTTCTATTTTGAGATGCGTACTTTTAGTTTTCTACTTCACTTTGATCAGAACTGAAAGATGTTAACATGGATCCTTTCATGTAACTCTTCTAACTTATAGTTATAGTAGTGCCTGGCAGTTCAGTCATAGATGGAGGTTTTATTATGCTAGGTACTGTACAAACATTGAACATAACAAAAAAGACAGTGATCCATGCCCCAAGAAACTTAAACTCTATCTAATCCTTCAGTTCAGGATTATATCGCTGTGGAATATAGTGATTCTTACTGGGTCTTATCACAGGGTTCTTGGACCCATGCTGTTCAACATCTTTATCAACAATTTAAATAAGGATGTGGAAAGTACGCTGGCCAAACTTGCAGACGATACTAAGATATGGGGAAAAGTGGTCACGCTAAGGGGTAGGATGCAAATCCAAGTGGACCTGGATAAGCTGGAAAAGTGGGCGGAGCAGAACCAGATGCAGTTCAATAAGGATAAATGCAGAGTGCTTCATCTGGGGAGAAGTAACCAGCAACATGAATATAGGCTAGGAGGAGATGTCCTGGCCAGCATGATAGCTGAAAGGGATTTTGGGGTTATGGTTGATCACAGGATGAACATGAGCCGCTAGTGCAATGCTGTAGTCAACAAAGCTATTAGCATACTGGGATGCATTAGCTGATGTGTCGCGAGCAGGGCTTAGGAAGTGATACCTCCTCTCAGCATTGGTGAGAACCCAGCTGGAGTACTGTGTCCCATTCTGGGTGCTGCACTTCAAACAAGACAGGGAGGATCTTGAAAGGGTCCCGAGGGGCAAGAATGATCAAGGGCCTGGAGGACAAACCTTATGAGGAAAGACTAAGGGATCTGGGACTGTTCAGCCTGGGAAAGAGAAGACTGAGCGGGGACTTGGTGGCCATCTATAAGTATGTAAGGGGTGAATTTTGGGAGCTGAGAGAAAAACTTCACTAGGGTGCCTCAGGGGAGGGCAAGGAGTAATGGCCATAAACTGTTGGAGGATGGTTTCAGGTTGGATGTCAGGAAGAACTTTGTGGCAAGGGTGACCAAAATCTGGAATAGACTTCCCAAGGAGGTGGTGCAGTCTCCAACCTTGGAAGTCTTCAAGAAGAGCCTGGACAGACATCTTGCTGGGATCATTTGATCTCAGCAGTATTCCTGCTCAGAGTAGGCGGTTGGACTCAATCTTTTGAGGTGCCTTCCAGCCCTTAATTTCTGTGATTCTGTGATTATCACACAAAATGCCAAGATAGAACAAGTAGTTAAATGGTGTAACTATATCAGAGATAATAATATATCGGTAGTAATATAGTTTCTGATGCCCATTCAGTCCTTGTCGTCTTTCTTTTGAAATGAGGATATATCCTCATGTTGCATATTCAAAACATGCACTACTTTGTCTTTTTCATTATAATTTTCTCCTTAATGTGAAGGCAGTTCAAGATTTATTAACACAAAAATTGTGATATCACTTGATTAAGGTTTTCATAAATTGCAATTCTCAATAATAATACTTAAATGAATTTTAAGGGTTATCTTTAAAAATATTTTCTCTATATATTGACTGTCTCAAATGTTTTTCCATGCTCTAGATAAGACATCATACAACTGTGGTATGCCATCTTTGGCAGGCAGTGAGACATTTGTCAGTATAGTACTAGAAGGCAACTGGCTTATACTGGGGATGTCAAACATACAGTCTGCAGGCTGGATCTGTAAATACCCATCATCCAGCCTGCAGTGCTGCCTCTGGTTCTTGGACCAGCATG